ATACGGCTTCTCTGTGCCCCACCAGCTCTTCGAGTCTATCTCATCTTTGCTTCTCTCTGCTATTGCTTCTCTCTTTCTACTGCTCTCTGCTTCTCTGTTATGTGCATCTCCTATTCATGCTCTTCAGGAGAGCATGTCATTGTGTAACAGAAAAGAACAAACATGACTCCATATTGGATCTATTCCTTTAGCTGTAACCTCTGTGCTCTGTTGCCTGTGCTTAGCTGGCTCTGCACCTTTGTAAAAGAATGTTGCCTCTAGCCTGAAATATACAGCATAGCCCATTTTCAGGGCTCTGACCCTTAAAGGTATAACACTTTTCCATTCATAGAGAGAGAAAAAAATCGCAGAACAGAGAATAGCATTTGTCTTGTTGGAGGTTTATAAAAACACTGTGACCAGACCTACGTGGACAGCTGCAAGAACAAAGGATTCCGGCACCAAGAAGTTTGTAGCAAACAGCCACACTCCCACCCCTTTTAGTATAAAAGAAGCCTGAATCCCAACTCGAGTAAGACGGTTCTTTGGGACACTAGTCCACCATCTTCTCAGTCTTTATTTTCCGAATAAAGTCCCAGTCCTTTTGCCCCAACGACGTCGTCTCTCAGTTTATTGGCCTGTTATGCAGTGAGCAGCTCAAGCTTGGACTCAGTAACAACTGTGTTGGAGAACCATCTATAGTCCCCAGTTGTTGGTTTTGGCTGTCCAGCACCAGACTCCTGGGAGCAATCCAATCTCCTTTTGGGGGAAATCTCCTACCGCGTGTAGCTGTAGGGATGGAACCCACTTCCCAAACGGTAGCCAATGAGCCAATGCACCCTCTCCCCACCCAGTGTGGTTAGGCCAGGAGCAAGCCTGTCCTCGGCCTAAACCAGTCAGAAAAATGTAGGCACAGCTGCACACCACCCCCACAAAGGAGCAGCAGCAGAAGCTGCTGAGTGAACACACTGCTCTTCCTGGGTAACTTGCTGTCCTCCTCACAGCAGAGCTCTTCAGAGCACCTTGGCTTTTGCCTCTTCTCTAACCCAGGTCCTCTAGGCCCCTATAGATATGTGAGTCATGGACATCCTGCTGAGGTTAAATTAGGCAGAATCATTTCCTATTGCTTGCAAACAGGAATTCAAACAGGACACAGACACCATGTAGTTTTGGCTCTCACATCAGAGCTGCCTTTGGCTATAGCCCCCATCATAATGCAGTCCCCTGAGGCCAGGGTGGCAGGGCCACAGAACTGAAGGCATGGCAGCTTCTGTCACAGGAGCCACCTGTGGCCTCTCTGTTCAGGAGGCAGCTGGGAGCTGTCGCTTGGACTCTCACGGACCCTAAGTAAATACTCTGCGAGAGATCGTGTCAGGTTTATATGCTGAGAGAATCGAGTCAGTGACGAGTCGGAGAGTGAAGATACATGAGAGAGAAGAGACCAGGACGGAGCAAGACCCCCGAGGAGACAGGAGCGAGGTGGAGGGATGGGTCTTGGAAAACCAGGGGAGTCTCCTTGCCCCTCTCCCCAGCCTCACTCCTGAGACTGCAGAGGTAGGCGTCTTTGTTCAGTGGAAGGGACCTGAAGGGGTTACTGTAAATAGAGTCTATTTCCTCTGTGAGGTAACAGCCAAGGTAACCTGCTGATGGTGAGTAGGGAGTTCGGGGGAGGATTTGAAGAGAGGGATGAAGACTTGGAAAAACCACAGTAGGGAAGTGGGTAGAGGGGCCTCCTGGGAACTGGCAAAAGGACCACTGAACTGCATTGAGGCAACTGTTTCTATTTGCATTTGCTAATAGCAATTACCCACTTCATAGACATGCTCTGAACAAGGACCCAGACAAAGGAAAACACCGCTTTCTCTGAAACTTTTTCAATACAAAACCAGGGACTTGGCAAAATATAGCAAATTTCACAGAACAGAAGACCTTTAACCTCGCTTCTCAATTTTGCAATTGCTTCGGGACTTTTCAGAATGACCTCTTTTGCTGGCCCAGAGGGCAAACATTATTGGACCAAAAAAGAAAGTTTGAAACAAGAGAATTTTTTTTTTCTTAAGGCATCTGGATTCTGTCTGATTCAGTTCTTTTTGAGATTAAGAAATGAGTCCACTTTGTACACAAAAGTATAAAAGAAAGTTTAGACCAAAGACTTTTAGGGTCCTTACAGAAATAGTAAGTAGTAGTGTTATTCATGTTGACAAATTATTCAAAATGATCTTTATTATAATTGGTGAAAAATGTAACTACCAAGATGATCCTCATTGAAATTCAAATAGACAGTGAAAAGCTAATATTTAAAGTCTCTGAAAAATAACAGAGCTTGGGTGTGGTTACGTTTGACGATTCGGTACGCTGAATTAAATCTTAAAATGCCCTGCCTGCTGGTTCTGGTAAGCAACTGAACTGATACATAAATTGTAGACTTCGCATTGGATTGTTGGTTAGATTCATAAAGTAAAAATGTGCTTCTGACATGTCATAAGAAAATGAACAATTGCTCTGCATTAGTTGGCACGAACTAAAAGAAGACAGCTTCTGGATAAAATTCAACATGCAATTTTAGCTTTTGTCCCATTTTGAATAAAAATAGTTGGCTGAAAAACTACCTATTTAAATTACTGAAAGCTGGTGATTACACATAAGCATACTGGCTGATAATTAGAGGGACAGCAGAAATCATTTAGAGTATGAAGAGCTTGGATAGGATTCCAAAAGTAGTTTTCCCTTAAACTGAGTGGCACAGACAAAAGCAGTTTGTTCGCCAAAGAATGACTATTCTTAAACTATCGCATTCACTGATGGAAGCTGCACAGACATGGGTTAATTTACTTAACACTTCAGAGGTTTGGGGTTTTCAAACTGCAGCAAAGGTAAGGCAAAATAGAGATTAAAATTCATCCTTTATTCTTTTCAAAGAGGAAAGCATCACATTTTTCAAGGACAGCTCCCAGCACACAGGTTTTTATCTGAGACGCTGTAAAGAAGCAAGACAAATTCTCTTTTTGAAAGATATTCAAAACAGCCACTAGGGGACAGTAAAAACACTGGGTAATGTAGCAAGGCAAGTCCCTGGATCAGAACCTTAAAATGAAAGCTGTTTTGCAGGATTTTAAAAGCATTTGATTGTTTAGCAGGGGTGGGGGGAGAGAACAAAGTGTCTCCTTGATTGCATTAATGTAACATTAATGGGAAACAGCAGTAAAAATATCACACAAGCCTGCAAGGATTTTTACTGGCACACATTTCCATGGCAGTGTGACGACAGTTCGAAGTCTGCCCTGTGCCTTAGGGACAACAGTTGTAGGACAGTGAATCAGCACATATGATGCAATGAGGTCAGTCCCCCAATACGCTCTGATTTAACACTGCTTCCAAAACAGCAAGAGATCAAGGATAACACACCAAAACAGAAGTCACTGGCATCAGCCTTATGGAACAATCAGAGGCAGCTGTACTGGTGGATCATTTGCTATCTACGTGTGTTTTTAATGTAAGCGATGTCTTTTTAGATTCCGAAGTCAGAATTATTACTTAAAAAAAAAAAATCCTATAGCTCCATTTAGCCCACACTATTTGTGGGAGGTGAGGAAAAAATGACTCACAAAATTGCTAAAATGCTTGTGAAAATGCAGATAAAATGGTGACAGACACTGAAGCACTCAGTTCTTATTCTTTAAAAATCTTTCCAAAAGGAGAACTGGGCCTAGGAGTGGGGAGGGTATGAACAGGAATTAATTCTAAGCATTATGTAGAATCCTAGACGTTACAGATAAAAAGTATTTTAAGTTCCTCAGCATAGAATATTTTCCTTTACTTCCAGTCTATAATTTTTCTCTTAGCCATTTTAAAGTAGAAAAAAAAATCTGTATACTGTGATATCTCATGCAAGAGGCTTTTCCCAAATCAGCTTCTGTTCAATTGACCATGGAACTGTGGTTATAAAATATAGTTTGCAAAGGTTAAAACTAACTAAACTATCTTTAGGGATTCTAGGCATGAATGTAATGAATAAGGACAGAACACATTTGATTTCCTCAAGCAGAGCTCAGCCAGCCGGTGTTGGGACTTCCCTGAACAGCACCCTGGCTCCTTGGGGGAAAAAGGCACTTCAAGCTGAGACAATGGGAAATAACCTCATCCTTGTTCCTTCAGGGTGAGATGACTAATCCTAACTTGTTGGCAGTAAAAAGGAATAAGTGTGATAGTAGGTCTAAGACAGTTTCTCTAACCATTTGTCTAAAACATAGCTGCAATTCATATATTGAACATATTTACTTATATTTTTGTCAGGAAATATGTATTTTTCATATGAATGCAAAGAAAAGTAAATCATTTGGTCTAATGTAAACCATCTTACAATGGTTCTTCTGACCATATTTTATTCTAAACTCCTCTCTATCTATGTGACCTTGGGTTTGCCTTTTCTTTTCCTTCTGCAGAGCAGATTTGCAAGGGAGCAGTAGAATCAGGCATGCCTTAAATATGTGGCCACTTGGAATCACTGGAGTCATTCTACTTACTGTAAGAGACAGGGGAATCTGGAGTAGTGATTCCTAAGATTACTGAAGAGGCTTTCATAAGCTACAAGGGTTCTGAGCACCAAAGGGGTTTTGTATATCAGGTTCTACTGCAGGCAAAGAATATAGCCTACACTATGTAAATTTCAGGGCAGGCTGTAAAATAAATTAGTCATATGTAAGGGTGAAAGTTCGGATCCTAAAGTGCCTGCAAGTTTGAGACTTGGGGCACCCAGTTAAAATGCAGTGGAATAGATTCTAGAGATTCCTCTCTGAAGCTTCTTTAATCTCATCAGGAGAGATATACAACCCTGTAGTTTCTAACTGTATCTTTCAGATGGCCCTGTGCATCTTATAACTACTGTAAAGTCTTAAAACGCCAAGTGGCGTCTCACGCACTGCTCAATTGTCCAGACTGTCTTGCACATTTGTAAATTCAATGAATGTTGACCCGATGAATGAGACTGCAAAGACAGAAGGTAAGCAAGGGATGGGACTCACCCAACACAATTCCCTGGGCACTTTGCTTCTAGTGCAATGTAAACCTCCATCCAGAGGCAAGACCCAGAGCTTCCAGAGGTGGTCTCCACCTTGTTCACAGGTGTTGGTGCTGCCTCAGGCTATGGCATCTTGAAGCATGACTTATTCAACCTCTGCACCAATGATAGTCGACCTCCTGGTTCTTGAGCTGCTGGACAATATTAAGTGATACTCCTCCATAGGATGTATGGCCCGGGTCATGTCTAGCACAGCATCTCTCATATTGGAGATACTCTCTACAAGAGGAAGGAAGGAAAGAATGACTATATGGAAAGACAGTAAGCTCTAGTTTCTTGAATATATATAGAATTTTCAAAACCTAATCTGCCAGAGCTAGTGCAGACCACTTGTTGTTCTACTCTGAAGCCCTTCCTGTCTCTTCCATCTTCACACTCAGTAATGCCACTGGAATGGGCCATGTAGCTCCCATGAGGATAGTTTTATAAAGTTGGATGTTTTAGGAAAAAGTTGGACTCTTTGATCTTTTATCTGGTTTGTAGCTATATTTCTACTTATTCTCTCCAGGCTCTGCTTTTCTTCCCAAACCTCCTCCAGGTTATTGTGTTTGTGAAATTGCTTGCACTTTCATTGTTTTTAATATGTACTCTACCCAGAAGCTCATAGCACTCCTGTATTGGGACTGAAGGCTAATAGACGTAGGGATAATCTGGTGTAACTAAAAGAAAAGAAAAATTATTAAACCAGTGCGAAAACAAACACTGAAATAAAATTCTGCCTGTTTTTCACAGTTGGCAGGAAAACCTCAAAATTTAATGGGATCAATTGTTTAACAAAATGGCACAGGAAATGGTCATATGAAATAAGTGCAGGGATGTTTATACACTAAGCCTGATTTTCCCGTTTAGTATACAAGGAAAATTCTCTCTTCCCTCTTCCTCACTCTTTCATTTGTTCATTCGTTCTTTCATGATCACACATGTAAGCAGATAAAACACAGGAGCTTTTCGTCTTTTAAAAATATGAAAAATGAGGCAAATGGGAAGGGGTCAAACACCCTGCAAACATGGCAAAGTGTGACTGAACTGTCTTCAGTGTACACTAAAATACTGATCATTGTTTTGCCATGGGAAAATGGAATATATTGGCAGAGTTACAATTCTGTTATGTCAACCATGTATATTATAACCTTCAATATACGTTCATATATTTAACTCCATTTCCATAACTCAATATGTCAAAGTATAATGGTTTCCCAACTGAAAGAATCTTTGAGGACTTTGTATATACCCTTTGAGGCTGCAGTATTTTTTCTTAGCTTTTAGTTAGAGCTGTTTGTAATTAATAGAAACAGAATCACTCATAGCATCTGTGCCAACAACTAGTTAGTTGTTCACCAAATGAATTTTTCTTTCTTCCCAAGCACACTTTTGGGCAACATGTCATAGCCGGCTTCGCCACTGGATGTAGCCCTGCGACTGGGTGTTGGTCAATGTAATATGAATAGAATGAACAGTGTATGGGTAGTAATATATATGTATTCCAGGGCTCACACACACAATATTCTCTCTTTTCCCCCCTTGCACCCATTGAATGGAGAAGTCTAAGAATAAAGAAAAGGATCCAGAGCCTACACTGCTGCTTGGAGTAAAGCTGTCCAGTAGAGCCAGCCAACCAGGTGAAGGCTGTAATATGTGTGACAAGTAAACTTTATTTTGGATTTCTAATCCATATTTGAAACTTTAAAGTTCTGTATTAGAGCAGTTGGCCTGTCCCAACTAATACACCAGTCTGAGAAAGTTAATGTTCTTCTATAGATCTTCATCAGCGTGAGCTGAAATGGGATACCAAGCTGCTAACAACTGGTGTGAATACAGAGACCTACTGTTTTCTCCCTTTTTCTGTCACTCATTCACAAAGTTCCAGACTAACTTAAGATAGCCCTGGCAAAGCTACTGTGAATACTCAATTCAAAAAAACATTTGGTAAGCAAAGCTATGTGCCAGAAACCAACAGGAAGTCTTCCTTTGGTTAATCACTAGATGGGAGTGGTAAATAGTTCTTAACAAAAAGGGTGGAGACCCAGAAAATGCACAGCTTAATAAAAAAATTAACAAAAGGCTTGGGTAGGGAGAAACAAACCAGGTATGAAGAAATGGGGGAGAAAGGGAGGAGGAAGACGAGAAGAAGTAGGTTCAGGATGGGAGTAGGAAGCAGGGCTTGGAGAGATTCCTTGAGACATTCCAGAGGATTTTCAAAGGGACCTTGAGGTCCTGCTCAGGAATGAGGAGAAAATAGGAACAAGCACCAGTCTTGGATCTGATCCCTTCAGCCTTCTCATCATCACTCCCCATCTTCTTCAATTTTCCCTCATAAATCTTATTTTCTAACCATTTAATTGTCATTTCGTTCCCTTAGCTTTCTTTTAAAATAGATAGTCTATTTCCTGGTTTTGTCAATTATAGTCCCCTAAACTGGATACAAGCTGAAAGACTAATCAGGAGAAGTACCTCCCCATACTTTCCCAAGCCATGCTCCATAGTTACAGGTCAAGGTACACCCCAGGTATCTTGTCAGAATCTTGAGGGGACTGTCACACCAATCAAGCAATAGCAATTTCTGGATCCTTTCCTGCCACAGTGAAGCACAGACCATTGTGCAGGGCCTTGAATTTCTATGCAGTACTTTTGGTAAGACATGAAAAAAAAATCCTGCCCTAATTTTTGTGATTCTCTGGAGTTGGCTGCCACCAAACAAGGTTGAGCAATCTATTTCTCTGAAGGGAGTTCCCATCTTCCTGGGAAAATTTAGGCACATTCCTTCCTTGAAAAGAAGGGAGGGACTACGTGAACTTTGGCAGGCTTTTAAACCTAACTATCTAAAAAAATGACATTTCACAATGATGACATGGTAGGGTCATGAAAATTTTGATTTGATATCGCCCACTGTCTTCAAACCATTCACAGCGCCTTTGTACATACATCACTTAGTTCTAAGATAATAGGGCTAGTAATAGCCTCATTTGCAGAGCCAGGTAGATTACTTTGTCCAAGGCTTCCAAGAGACTACTGTAGGCCTAGAACTAGTGCTTTTGTTCAAAGAATAACTAGCAAGAGGCTGGAATCTTAATGTCATCCCTTTTGAGTCAAATGTGCTTGAGTAGCCTAGGTAACTCTGCCCTCTGGATCTTTATCTCTGAAATGGGGGTAGGACCTGTACCAGGTTCCTTTCCCCTTCACTCCTTTTGCTAGGTATAGAGTAGGATAGCTGCACAGGTGGTTTCAGAAGTCCCACTAGGGTATTATAGATAGAGAAGGAAACTTAGGGAACTTGCGGAGACCACTGTAAGTTAATGATCGCTCAAGAAAGCTATTGGAACATCATGGAAGGAAGCAGGCTTACTTAACTATAAAGCCATCAATAAAAGCATGAGATATGCCCCAGGTCATGAAGTGAAAAAAATGAGGCCTGCATCCTGCTGGTCAAGTCCAGCAAGATAATGATCCTTAGAACCAAGGACAGGAACATAAGGGAAAGGTAACATTCCAATGTAGGAGATCCTCATTATACTGAAACCTGAGATGATTTAACATATTTTAGTATATGTTACCACCCTTCTGCTGATTTGAATAAGCATCATGACAGTCTTAGTTTGACTCATAGGGTCAAACACTCTCCTGCATGATGCGAAGGAGGAGCTAGTGATATAAGCCTGATGTCTACTCAAAGAATGAGGAAGAAGGTGGTCTTTTCCCCCCTCCCCACTTTCCTCTGATTATAAGAACAGAGCCCGCTAGCTCTCGGGACAGAGGCCCCTCGCCTGCCCACTTGTATTCCTCACAAGCGTTCTATATTAATAAATCTACTTCTTGCCTACCATTTTGCCTCTCGCTGAATTCCTTCTGTGCTGAGACACAAAGAATCTGAACCTCAGTAATCCAGACACCAGGTGAATGATTCTAATTAAAAGACCCTGGGTTCAAGTCCCAATCTGGGGTTTAGCTGTGTTGAGTCCCCGCACGTAGGTTCAAGTTCCAGTCTGAGGTGCACCGTTTCACTTAGGCTCTTCTCGTTTCATCCCATGGGGCAAGGCGGGTTCTCTTTGCTTCCATCCCCACCTTCAGTAGAGAGGGGTCTTTTAGCATAATATTGAGAACTTTCCTGACTTTCCAATCTAAAGGAAACATTCAGTTCTCTATTACAATGCCCTGATTTATTTTTTCATAGAATTCATCATTACCCAAAATTATCTTTTTTTTTAAGGTATTGGTTCACTCGCCAGCCATTTGCGCCCCCCATCCATACATATATATTAGAACATAATCTCCATGTCTGCTTGTTCACCACTATATATCAATAGTATAGTACCTAGCACACAGTAGTCACTTAATAATTAAGTGAATAAATCCAAGATGTGCTGTGAAAAGTGATCAATATTAGCTTTTGTTGGTCTTATGGGTGCTTCCCAAGAATGGGAAAATACAATACAAAGAGAACTTAACTAAGGTAAGTAAAGTAGCACAGTGACATAAAGTCAGGACTGAGGGACAGGGCAGAGGACCAGGTGGAAATGAGGATGAGACTGTGTGAGCCCTGCTGAGAGCAAACTTGGCAGTGACTGGAAGGCAAGCAAAGGGAGCAGCAGAGGAGCATCTCACTTTACTTTGTACTCGAGGATATTTCTAATAGATATGACTAAGCCTGGGACCATTCTTATTAGACTTCCTAGCCATTTGGAATGTAGCCTGGGACCATTCTTATTAGACTTTCTAGCCATTAGGAATGTAACAAGTTGTTACAATTGTGATACTTATTCCTAGTGGTGTTGTGAGAATTAAAATGGATTGAAGTGTATAAAACCCTTAGTACCCTTATACAGAATAAGTAGTAGCCTTAATTCCTTGGATTTCTCCTCTCCCAGGCATCTTCTGCATCTGCTTTACTTCTTCAAACGTGCACTCATAGCTCCATCTTCTTCTTCTTCTTCTTCTTTTTTTTTTTTAATGTCTGTGGTTGTGTTCCAGTAACGTGCATTTACAAGAACAGATTTGTCCTGAGGGCCAGAGTTTGCCGACCCCTGATGCGGGTCATCCCATGCCTGAAGCCATCACCATCTCCAGACTCTCCAGCTCAAGCCAAACCTTTTTTTACTATTTGCTTAAGTGGTCATCATAAATTCCCGATTAAGATCTACCATCTCAAGCTCCCATAGTTCCATCTTCTAAATCATCTCTGTCCCTGCCTCTATCTCTGTCATTTTGTTTCTGTTTCTGAAAAG